AAAAAAGAAAAAATTAAAAAAAAAAAAAAAAAAAAAAAATAGGATAAAAATAAAAAATAAAATACATTTAAAAAATAAAAAGCTATAAAAACGAACAATAAAAATAAAAAATAATAGGATGAAAATTAAATATTAAAAATTACAATTAAAATAATAAATAAATTAAAAATTAAAATGTAATAATTAATATTTTGAAATTTATATATATATATGTTTATGTTTATTTATTTTTTTGTTAATGTTATTTATTTTATTTTATTTTATTGTTTTTTAGTATTTTAGTTCGTCAACCACACAATAAAGACATCCCTACATAATCACTATCGTCTCCATCCTCAATCAAATCGGGAAGCACAACAAAACTCTGGTTCTCAAAGTGACAGAATTCCCTCAGAAAAGCCAATTACTGCGGCCCATTCACAGGGAAAATAAAATCTCCCAGTGTCCTCGGCGGAAGACGGGAAAGCTGCGAAGACGCGCACAGATGGGCATTCCTGCTTCCCGCATCAACAGCTATTGAAATTCTGCGGAGACGGCCGCTCGCTCAAAAGGGTCTCGGCGCAGACGGGAAGTGCTCTGCAGCTGCAGGAAGCATCTGCGGTCGAACGGGCTAATCAGAGGAAGGATGCAGAACGCTCCTCATTCTTAAGAGATGTACATCACAGATCAGACGGCACATTTATAGCTATGAGAAGAGCTGGAACTCTGCCATCTCAATCTCAAACTGCTGGCTCGTGAACCAAAAATCAGTCACACAGGTCTGTCCTGCAACATACAGCAGGGAAATGCATGCTAAATGCAAATAACACATTGCAACTGACCATATGAAACCAAAAAAACACCATGTGCAAACAGTTTATAGCAAGTCAAATTAGACCGATCTCAACATGAACTGGTCGTATGACACCATAATCTTCAAAAAAACATGAACAAAACTACACGAAAGAAAAGAAAACATGACTCCGATGATATTAAACATTTAGTCTTTGCAATAACAATTTGCAGAAAGCACATAATGTACTCTGTGCTCAAAATCAGCCCAAAAATGCAATAAAAAGAGAGAAAAATAAAATAAAATATTACATAAAATAATATAAAATTAAATGTGATAAACAAACAAATTTAAAATAAATAAGCAAAATTAAAATAAATAAAAAATGTTAAATGTTAATTACTGGAAACAGTTTGTGAAAATAAAAAATAATATATACAATTAGAAAATGCTAAAAATATTTGCTAAATAGTTGCATTTATCATATGTTCTCGTATTTATTTTGTGTTATTTCTGTAACACGTTTTTGTAAAGCCATAATTTTGTTATAATATAATACTGCTGTTTGGTATTTGCAATGGTTACGGTTTACTAGCCTAGGGTTTTTGGTGAATTGTATTAAAACAAATTTTAATGCAGATATCACAATCATTCATTATAACAACAGCATGATAATAATTGTTAATAATAATAATAATAATAATAATAATAATAATAACAATTATTATTATTATAGTAATAATAGTTACAGAAATGTATTGTCCCTGTTTTTTAATTAACAGACAACAAGTGAGATTTCAATGATAATTTGACAATTAAAACTAGTAAAGGCCCCTGTTTCCAGTTCAGAAATAACTCGTATTTACAGTTAGTGCTCTTACAATAGAAGTCAATTTTTGTAGATGATGTTATTTGTTGGTAATGTGTTACAGACGTGTGGAGAAGTCTGCAAACAGTCGCTCCATAGGCCTCCAGTGTAAGAGCATCACTGCACACACTTCATACAAACCAGAGGAAGATGAGATGATGCTCTGGGGTGAAAGATTATAAACCTGCTGCATTCATAATCTGATTATTCTGACTGAAACATGATCTTCAAAGCCAAAACGGAAGGTGTGTTTTGATGAAATTGATTGGATGGTTAAAAAAGCTTCTCTTTTTAAATAAGAGAGATTGATGTTGACAGCAAAACTAAATGCACTAATAAATCATAAGTGTATTAATAAAGTAAATAGGATTTTAACTTAATATTTAATTTAATTTAATAATATTTCTTAATCTCCATATGCTCACATATCTGACATCAACATTTCTGAAAATGAAAACCCAAAATCTCCAGAAGAGGGTGACTGAAGCACACGCTGTAATTATGGTGAAACAAACACAGCTGGAAAATCATTCAAAAACTCGTCTAAAACGCAGCACTTCTTTAAACTATGTTTACATGGTTTAA